GATTAAAATATACAGAATATGCAGAACTGTGGGAAACTATAAAAGGAGCAACAAACAAAAAAGGAGCAAAGTGAGGAAATATTTGAGAAAATAATGGCTGAGAATGTCCCTAAATTAATGTCAGAAACCCAATCACAAGACCACAAAGCTCATAGAACACCAATGCAAATCAATGCCACAGAACCTATGTGTAAACATATCACTTTCCAGCTATAGAACAGAGAATCAAAGACAAAGAACACTGCAGGAGGAGGAGAGAAAAACCACGTCATTTACACAGACCCGGGTAAAAATCACATCCGACTCCTCGAAAATCATGGAAGTAAGAAGAAAGAGAGTGAAATAAAATGCCAAGAAACAGAAAGGGAAAACCAACCAAACACCACCAACCTAGAACTCTGAATCTTGAGAAATAACCCACAAAAAGGACAAAAAGACATCCACAGACAGAAACTGAGGCAAACTCCCAGTAAGACCTTGTGTTACAACAAATGTTAAGAGTTCTTCATATAAAAAGAAAATTCAATAGGTTAAGTTCTTGATATACACATGCAGGTATGCACGAGCGGGCACACACACACACACACACACAGATGGAGACAGATAGACACAAAGTACACTAGAAAAACAATTAATGAGGTATAATAAAAATTTCCTTTATTCTTTTCTCAAATTTTTATTTTATGTGTGTGAGTGTTTTGTCTGCATGTCTATCTTTTCACCATGAATGTGTATGTTGTACAGAGAGCTCAAAAGAGGGTATTACAAATGGTTGTGAACCACCATGTGGGTGCTGGGAACTGAACCCAGGTCTTCTAAAAGAGCAGTAAGTGTTCTTAAGCTTGCTTTGAATCATATCTTTAGCTCCTATTTTTTTTGGTCTTAGTTGTTCCAAGAACAACTCCAAACGATACTATTAATGTTTCTATTTATCATGTCTGTAAATGCATACTACAAATTGTAAGGCAAAAAACAGAGTTAAAAGAAAACCAACAAGCATAAAATATAGAGAATAAATAAGAGAGAAAAGAAAGAGGAAAAATTGAAAAACAATTGATAAGCTTTGAAAAAGAAAACAGAATCATAACAATTCCCAATTAAATCTACAAAAGACAAAAAATGTTAAGCAACATAAAGATAATACTTAAGAAAAAAAAGAAAAACCCCCATAATTGGAAATCAAATAATATACTTCAAAATTACACTTAAGTCAAAGAAGAAATATTAAGCGAAATTTAAATGAATTTCAAATTAGATAAAGATGTTTCTGGAATGAGAAAATTGTTTCCATCATTAAAAATTGAAGTGTTGGGCCAGCAAGATGGCTATCAGGTAAAGACTGAAGCCAAACCTGATGACCACAGTTCAATCTCCACAGCCCACATGGCTCAAGGAGAAAACCAACTCCCTCAAGCTGTCCGTCCTATGACTTCCCTACAGGTGTTATGGCACAAATGTTCCCCTACTTCCTTCCAAAAAATAAATAAAATGTAAACAAGAAAAAGAACAAGTAACTAAAAGTAGAGGGAAAAAGTAACAAAAATTAGCACAGAAATCAATGAAAACCAGAGGGAGGCTTTTTGAAAAGATCAATAAAACTGATAAGCTTTTAGTTAGGCTACAAATAGAAGACACATATTTCTAACAGCAGAAACTAAAGAAAAGCACACAAATCACATCAATATTAGGAAGAAACCTATTTTGAGCAGATTTACCTCTAAATTCACTGAATCGGCACCTTCGGGAGCAGGAAGCACCACGCTCAGCCGTGTTCACTAGTGAAATCTGTTCACCATTTGTGGAAGGAATTATAATTCTCTATAGTCTTCCTTAGAAGGCAGATGCATAAGGCCCACTTCCTACCTCATTCTAGGACGCTGGCACAGATGCAACTTCATGCCACTCAGAAGGCAAATGTGAGGAAATAAGGGATGGAGAGGGGAGCAGGGATGAGCATTCATAGCACAGAGGTTATGTATGTACGGCGATCAAACTATTCCTTATGTGACCACAACAGAGAGTCCCGTGCACACAGACTTGCCAAAACCCCATAGCATATACAAGGCAAGAGAGAAGCCTTATGTAAAGGACGAACGTTTTAGTTCATCTTACTGCGGTTTCGCTGACTCTGCCACCGTGATGTGCTTACCACCTGTGTGCTGGAGGCAGGCTAGTAAGTGTGGGCAGGGAATTCACAAATCATGTGCTTTCCACTGCAGTTATCACCCTAAATCTGCTCTAAAAACAAACAGCAACAATAATATATATATACACTTTTTAAAAGGTGTACATTTTCAAATGTGTATCTATTTAAGTCCATGCCCTCATTTTACATAACTTCCAATGGACTTCTACAGGCATTTCTGAATATGTATCTACAACTTGATTACTATGATAAATTCCAGTTTCACCACAGAAGCTTTTGATGTAAGTTAGTCCAAATTGGCATTTCAGAGATGTACTTATTTTCTGATTTCTGTTGTTATGGTCAGCACCAGAATCATTTTATTATTAGTATTAGCATTTTGATATAGATATCCTGTAGCCCGGTTTGCCTGCCTCCATCTCCCAAGTACCAGTACTATAAGCATGTGCCGCCACACCACACCCAGCCAGAACAGAATCCACTTTTTAACACTGACTTCTCTCTAGCACTTATTTCTTTTTAATTTATTTATTTAAAAAAAACAATCTTTTCTCATTTTACATATCAATCCCAATCTACTCCCAGCCTCCCATTGCCTCTACCTCCCCCCCACCCCCCCATCCCATGGGAAACCAACAAAGTCTAGCACATTGCTTTGAGGCAGGACCAAGGCCCTCCACACTGTATCTAAGCTGAGCAAGATATCCCTCTAAAGAGAAAAAAATATGGAACACCTCACAGACTTGCATGTCATCCTTGCGCAGGGGCCATGCTAATCTTCTCTGTATGTTCCTATTTTAGTATACCTGCTGCGGAAGCGAGCACCAGAACAGAATCTTAATATACTCACTAAACATCTTAGACATCTTAGACACAGGGCAAGCAGTCCTAAGAACAATTCTTACATAAAGTTAACTACTACCAGTTAATGTTTATAATACATGGCAGTAATCATATAAACAGACTATATAAATCTGAAAACTATTTTCAAAGCAACCTATACATTTGGAATTGGAGGGCCAGGAATTTGGCTTAGCAACAAAGTACTGGCCTAGCAAGTACAAGCCCTGAGTTCAATCCTCAGTACAAAAGTCAAGCAAACAAAAAAGATGGAACTGGACATATAACCTAGCAGAATGCATAACCAAGTACATTGAAGCCCCAGGTTCAATCCCAGCACCACGAGAAATAAATAACTAAATACAATCCTTTGGAAGAACAGGCGAGAAATGAGAACACCTAGAGGTCAGTTCCATCTGCTTCAGTACTGCGTGTGGCACGAAGTCTAAACGTGAAAATGCATTGTATAAACTGTAAATCCCTGACTTACAATTTTTATTTTATAGCGATTCAAAAGCAATATGCACTCATTAGAAGTAGTACTTTGAATTTTGGTCCTTCCTTGCAACGCTGACCAGTACCAAGTTAGCCCCAGGGTCATAAGCAGAAATACCCTCTTCTCCACAGTATACCAGGCTTCTAAGCTATGACGTTCAGTAGGCCAGATATTTATGACATTTTCAAGTTACAAGGTTACTGGGGTATAAATCCATCATAAGGAGCATCAGTATTTGCCCTGCCAAAGAATCAGGTTATTGAAAGTTTTGTTGGTTGTTAGGTTTTTGCTTTTATTTCATTTTTGTAGTGCTGGAGAAGAAACCAGGGGCCATGTCAGGCAAACATTGTGTCACTGAGCTACATCTCCAACTCTCTGAAGAGTCTTAATAAAACTATGTGACAATTCACAGCACACAATAACTATGGACCTGGACAGAACGGCAGGCACATGCCCTTAATGCCAGAATTCAGGAGGTGGATCTTTGTGAGTTCAAGGCCAGCCTGGTTTACATAATAAGTTCTAGGACGGTCAGAACCAGAGTGAGACCCTATTTCAGGGGGGAAAAACAAAAAAAGAACTAACACCAAAAAAAATCAAACCAAACCAAACCAAACCAAAAAACAACAAAAAGAACCACAAAGAAATCTTGAACTTCATTTCCAATGATGTTGGAAGTTAGGCTCTTGGTTACAAAAGAATGAAGACCAAAAATGGAATAAAAGAAAATGGCAAAGAACCCACATGGCACAATTCAATTGGGATTACTCAGGAGATCATTTTAAAAAAGAAGATACTTCCTGCCCCCCCCGCCCGCCCGCCAAGGACTGATCTGTAATGGCAAGAATTAGCACTGAGCAAAAACATATGCAGAATTTGGTTTTGAAATATTACTCTATCATATTGCCAATATTAGGATCCTACAGGAAAAAACAGCAGATCCCAGTGTGAAACAAGAAAAATACCAGGTAAACCTTGGTACTGTATCTTAAGAAAATACTCAAACACTAGTCACGCCCAAAGATCACAGGAGTCAGTCATTGGCCAAACATGGGTAATTCAGCATCAAAAACCTTAACCTGATGGTCAATACAAAATGAACTAAATGGTATTTTGGACAGGTTTTGTCCCATAGTGCTTTGTTGGGGCATTTTTTTAAACCTTACAGATCTTTTGCTTATATGTTATGGTTTCTGGTATGTGTTGGACTGTTTCTTGTGCTTTTTCTTTGGCTTTTTTTTTCCTGTTTGTTTATTTTGTCCTATTCTGGATTGTTGTTTTTTAGCTGACTGTTTATTTCCTAATGGGAGAAAAACTGTAGATCTGGATGGGTAGGAAGCTGGGAGGAGTTGGGGGAGGAGAAACTTTGATCAGAATATATTGCATGAAAGATTTTCAATAAAAAATTGAATTGTATATAAATTTTAAAAAACTTAAATTTGGGGTTGGAAAGAAGGTTCAGCAGTTCAGGGCTCTTGCTGCTCTTACAGAGGACAGAGATCTGTCCCCAGCACTTACACTGCCAGTCACAGAATCCTTTAACTTCTCTAGCTCCATCAAATCTGACACCCTCTTCTGGTTTCCACAGACCTGTACACACATGAACATACATGTACACACACACACACACAGAAAGAGAGAGAAAGAGAGAGAGAGATCTTTAAAAAAAACAAACTCAATTTTAAGGAGCAAAAATTAAAGATAGATAAAAAATTACACATAAAAAAGAATTTTAGGCAACAAATATAGAAGAAATGCTTTTTGTCTTTAATTACACTCTTCGTAGCCCTCAAAGTAATAACTAATAGAAGTAAAAATACTTACTGGATGTCAAAAACAATGAGTAAAATATTGATGAGGTATTTGTAGGGTCTCAATGTAATATCTATAGTAATGGGGAAAATATACCTTTGTATTGGATCTTGTTATCAGTTTAGATCAAATGATAAAATGAGGTGTTCCTCAAGGTGGGACAATCCCACTGTGTGGTATCCATTACTTAGACAATATATTTTCTAAGAATTTTTATCTTCAGTCTAATCATACTGAAACAATCAGATAAATTTACAATGTGAGATAGTGCACAAAACAATTGCCCCAGCCTTTGGGAAGAAAAGGGGCCTGCCATGGAAAAACATACAAACCCCAAAAACAAGCAGGGACACAACACTAGATAAAAAGACAACAGTCACAACATCCATGACTGGATCTTGATGATAAAAGCAAAATAAAAAATATACAGCACAGTTTGGGAACAGATGGAGAAGTTTAAATAAAAGCTTTATACTATTCAATTACTATTAATATTCTGAAGCACAGCAATACAGTTATAAAATAACTTATTTTAGGAGATGTATGTCAAAATATTAAGGAATGAAACCCAAAATATGTGCTATTTACTATCAAATGGTTCATAAAATATGGAGCAAATATTGCAAGATGTTAACAGGCAAATACAGATGTAGAACATGAGTAGTGACTTACCCTGAATTTACATGTAGATTTGTACATTTTAAAACAAAAACTTTTCAGGGACAGGAACCTGAGTTCAAAGATCAGAACCCAGGAGGCTTTTTTTTTGATTTGCTCTAGTGGGATTATTTTTCCTTGCGATGGCATTCAACAGCACTCTGTATTTCTAGTCTAGCACTTAACGGACAGGTGAACTGCCAGCTTGCAACCTTCTCTAGAAACCACTTGGAACTGGAATTAGTTCTTCATCCAGTACGTACTAGGTATTTGGTGCTTGTTGTATGACTGAGTCACATGATGAAAACAATAAGCCATAACTGAAACCATTTTTTGTTCCTACAATATTTATCCTCAAATTAACCAAGAAGGAACCCTATCAAATGGACTTACATAACTCGTACCACTATAAGGGATGTCCGATATCAGCACTTAATTCAAAATTTTCATTGTAAATTCTTTCATTTTCAACTCAAGAAAATTAAGCATACCTGCTCTGTGTCTTTACTGTCCTTTGAATTGGAGGTCTGGTTTTCTCCAGGCTGCTCATTTTCCCATGGTAATTTATTTTTCCCTTTCCCAGCACTTAAGACCCTTCGGGTACAGATCGTTGGACTGTAGGATCCATACAGCTGCATGCTGTCCCTTGTGTGCTCACCACAGTAACAGTGTGCACTCTGAGTTCTGTTTCCAGACATAAGCCAGTCTGTATCTGCGCCATGTGCCAAATGGCTGGACCTACCCTGGGCAGAAGACGGCATGAGGACGGCATACTCGACAAATCCCTGCTCTGTTAGCCGTGGAAGAGTCTTTCTGGCCAATCTGGCCTGCACGGCGTTCATCACTCCATCTCCGTTATCTTGCAACTCAACAGTATCTACAGCTTTAAAAAGGACATTGGTTTTACCTGAGCCCATTGATGACGCCAAAACAGCAAAGGCTTCTAGGGCTGCCTGGCGGACCCTGCGTTTGCTATCGACGAGAGCTGGAGCAAGATCAAAAGACAGTTTGGGTAAGTCAAAATCCTCACTGGGATAGGTCAGGAGGGAACAGATGCAAATGTTCACGACTTCCTCTCTGACCCTGGAGTGTTTATGTTTAAGATTTTCCAGGAGCAAACAGAGCACCTGCTGAGGGCCTACTTCTTTCATTAGCTTTAGAAAGATCTTCATGTACTCCTGCTTGATCATCAACTTGTTGTCGGCCAGCACTTTCACAGAAGCTGCTATAACTGGTCCCAAGAACTGTTGGACCTGCTCTCCCAGGCGAATAACCAGCAAATGCAGAACTTGAAGTGTGCCATGGACCACTTTGAAATTGGAATCGTCTAACAAATTATACAATAAGCTAATGAAACCAACAAGACTAGAATGAGGGGTAGAACTTGGGTTAAATTTTCCCAACAGCTGTTTTAGTTCTTCAACAGCCTGAGTCCTGTTCTTATAGTCTTCCTGATCCAGCAATCTCGCGTGCAGCTCCTGAGGAATAATCCCGAATTTCAGATTGCTATTGGAAAGAGTCGCTATACAAGGGGCAGGATCTTCAGAAAACCCAGAGGCTTCAAGCTCTAAATAATAAGGAACCTGACTTCCAAACTGGGACTCCAGGCGGCGATTGTAGTGCCTTCGCAGAGCAGAGGGCAGACGAGAGATGTAGGATTGAAACCTCTCTTGACCAAGCCGTTCTCCAATTTGTTGAAGTGTGGAGAACGCTGTCTCAGATTCTTCTTCCATCTCTTGATCGCCAAGCTTTCGGGCCAGAGATATTATTACTTCAGTGAGATCCAAGCCCAGCAACAAATCCTCAGGAGTAAGCAAGATGGGGAGCAACAGCGCGGTGGATGCTCTAAGCCGGGCATCTGGACTCTCCAGGCCTTGTATAAGCGTTCTAAGTACTTGGCCAGAACTGCGCCTGAGACATATATGCAGGATCTGCAGCGCATCCTTCCGTAGGGCTGGATTATCTTCTCGTAACGAGACAACTAGTTGGGGCAAAAGCGCTAAACTAAAGGCCTCTTCCAGCTGACCTGCCTCCCCCTGACCCCGAAGAACGTCCGAGAGGAGCTGCAAGCAGAGCCTCTTCTCATCACTCCCGCCTTCCACCAGCACTCGGCCGAGCGCCCGATACAAGGCTTCCTTGCGGCGGGGAAAACCGAGCCGGCCGCCCCGCCGCGGCAAGGCAGCCTGCAAAGCCTGGAACGCCTCGGAGGGATCCGGGGCGGTGCGCAGGAGTTGAAGGAGCCGCGTCTCCTCCTCATCTCCTCCTGACAGCCCACTCCCGGGCGCCGACCAGCTACTGGACACGGCCTCCGCCTGCAAGAGCAGGGTCGAGGTCAGAGGCGACGGCGTCGAGGGGCAGGAGCCGTGGTCCCCGGCAGCCCCGCGGCAGTAGTAGTTTTTCTCGCCCCTCATTGTGCCCCCAGCTCGGCGCCCATCATTCCCTGGAGCGGAAGAACGACTGCGGCTCAGGAGGCGATAGGAACCCACGGCTGCAAGGGGCGGCGGCAGGAGCAGCTCGGAAGGTGCGGCCGCCATGGAGGGTCGTCGGGTAGCGACGGCTGGAGGGAACCATTGCCGTCTCGGGAGGGCTGGATGAAGCCCAGCCTTCCAGCTCCTCTCCGAGGCCCGAGGTGCAGAGATGGCAAGGAACGGCTCCGATCAGCTACCAGGCCGCTCGGGCCCTCCACTCCCGGAGCCAGCCTCCGGCAAAATGGCCCCCGCCTGTGCCCGGGACCCCACAGCCGCCACCCGGCGTAACCAGGGCCACCACGTGACCAAACCGAGCGCTTCCATGGTGATGCACCCAGCTCGGACCTCTTGACCCGGAAATCAACCTCCCGAGGTGCATTCTGGGTCGTGTAGTCCACGTAGGGAGCGAAGCCGTGGCCGAAGACGCCAGGAAGAGGAAGTCGGAATGTTGGAACGCTGCCAGAGCGGTGAGGCGGGGTCAAGACCTTAAACGGAAATGACGCTTCCCTGCCCGGAGCGGAAGTTTCCCGCCCCACCCGTAAGAGTTGAGGTTTGACCAGCGCAAGTGAGGTTCTTGTCCCGGTTCCAGTTTCCGTGGCTCCTCCTCCTGTCATTGCAGGTGTTATTCCTGGGACTCAGGTATTCTCCGTTTTGCTTTTATCCCGTGGTGCAGGCTTCGGCCGAGTGTTGCCCGTGTGTACATGAGCCAGAGGAAGAGTCTGTACCGGGCACAGAGGCGACATGTTCTGCAGGGCTGGTTACCATTGGAAGCGGTTTACTCTGTACTCCTGAGTGAGAATCTTTCTTCCAGCAGACTACTCATCGGTACCGGAGAACGCAATCGATGTCAAACGTCAGTCTTATAGACAGAGTACTTTCCTTTTTTCTTTTCTCCTTTTTTCTCTATCTTTTTTAAAAAAATATTCCTAGTCTTTGGGGATCTTCCTTGTCCCGCCTTCCTCTTCCATGCTTCCTTTTCCTCTCGTCGCCTGCTGGCTGTGGAGTGTTAAAGGCTTCTGTCAGTTTTCATGTCTGCATCACTCAGTTTTCTAGAAGGTGCAGAATCTGTACCTTCCCTCTATAGCTAGCTGACCACTTTGCATTAGACGAGGTGCTTAAGATCTTTCCAAGGTATCCTCTGTGGGGCTCACCCCCTTCGCCCCACCTTCACTTCTCCAGTCTCCCAGTAGGATCCTCCAGCGCCTCTGCAGCCTTTCAATCTCCTGGAGACGGAGATCGCTAGACAATTTCAGTTGTGGTGCAAGTTCTTGCCATCACAGCCCTAAGAGAATTCCGCCCAGAGGATTTAGGGTTGATAGACATCATTTTAAACGAACTGAGAATGTGATGGCTGACGGATGTTTTCCCTTTGTAAATGCAACCATAAGGAGAATTAAGTGTATCTCCTGTAAGGTCAAACGCTTTGGGTATGAAAGAGCAACTTTTGTTTCTGTATTTGAAGTATTTGAAACAGACAATCGCTGTACGTGGCTGGCCTTGAACTCCCGTCTCGACCTGTTGAGATTACAAGTGTGCACTGCCGTTCCAGGTTTAAAGACAGATTTCGGGGAGGGGGAGGAGAAAGCGGACTTTTAAAGAAATACTACAATTGCTTTTCAGTGACCTAGTGATAAAAGACTAAGTTTCTAAGTTTGAAGTTCAAAGTTTATGTTCAAATGCAAGTATTTCTGCCCTGCCTTGTACCAAATGGGATGTCCCTTGAATTACTTAGTTTTCCTGTTTTGTTTTGTTGTTGTTTTCTTCATGACAGGGTTTCCTTGTGTAATCCTGGCTGTCCTGGAACCAGCTCTATAGACCAGGCTGAACTTGAACTCAGATATCCACCTGCCTCTGCCTCCCAAGTGCTGAGATTAAAACCGAGTGCGACCATACTCCATTATATTGCTTTTTGAAATCTTTCAATAATCGAGTCACGTGTGACAAAATGCTTTATAACAATAATTGATACTCCTGGTGCTGCAAGTTGAAATTTTATCGTTGTTTTATTATTGCACAAAGTAAATATCATAGATTTCTCTTTTCTTTTTTGAAAAATAGTCATATAGTCATCGAGGCTGTATAACACTGTTGCCTGTGCTTTGGTTTCAAGCCTAGCTAATTTGCTCATTAGCTTTTGTAGTTTGTGATCTGTGGCTGCTGTTTGGTCTTGTTTCACTGTGCTGGACATTGAAGCTTTGCTTACTAGGGAAAAGCTGGCCTTCGTTGACCATTTCGATGTGTAAGTGGATCTATCCAAGTTTGATTTAGCAAATATATTTTACTAGAAAAACAACAACAAAAACCCTGCTGTCCTTGCCCCTTTTCTATTTTTAGAGGCAGGATAAGGACAGGAATAAAAAAACAAGAGATGACTGTTAACACCTGTCAGTGAGAAAGAGCGACTGCCAAATGGCTGGGTCTTGGTAGAGCACTTGCCTAGTATATGCAAGGTTCTGGATTATATTTAGAGTACTACGAAAAAAAAAGCATGGGCTGGGGGCACGGGGTAAGGGGATGGAGGAGAACTTGACAGATTCCTATTTCCAACCTAAGGTGCTTAAATGTATTATTCTATTCATATGTGCTCAGACTTCAGGAGCCTAGTCCACACTGAAGGAAACAGGAGAATGATGTATACATTAGAATGTACACGTTAGAATGCCAGTTTATGTTGGAATAGAAGGTAATTCTTTCTGGGGATGAGAATTTTCAGATTGAAAACTCCAGCATACTCTTCATGTATCTAAGAACTTAGGAAGCCAAGTTACTAACCAGACTAAGGTTGTGTGGTAATCAGTATCAAAGAAAAGGAACTTAGTTTTGAATAGTTTCATTATTAGTTATGGCAGAAATATAAGAATGATCCTTTCTCTCTATAAACAACACTACTCAAAAGGCCGGGACCCATAAATCGAGCATTGCCCTGTCCTTTTCCTTCGAGCAAAGCAAGATGAGTCCTTCTTCCTCTCAGGTCCCTGTAGCTCAGTGTGTGTTACAGATTGTATTTATGTCTGTTATGTTACATCTCCTTGAAGATCTGGAAATACATCAGATCGATTGTGACTATTTAGGAAATGGGACTTCACTGTCACGTGACTTACTATCTGTTAAATGATCTTATAGAGTGTCCTGTTTAGTATATATTTTGTTTACAGCTATTAAAAGTACTTAAGTTTCTTTTAGTCTTATTTTTGAAGTCTTGAAGTCCTTTCTGTATTTACTAGAAAAGCATTCATGTGTAATAATAGAGTTAAGATAAAGAACAGAGTTTTTTGGTTTTGGTTTTTTTTTTGGTTTTGTTTTGTTTTGTTTTTTTCTTTTGGATTTTCAAGACAGAATTTCTCTGTGTAGCCTTGGCTGTTCAGGAACTCATTTTGTACACCAAGCTGTCCTTCAACTCAGAGATCTGCCTGCCTCTGCTTCTCAAATGCTGGGAATAAAGATGTGCTAAAGTGCAGGGTTTTAATAATAAATACACTTTCTGTTGTAAAAGTCAACCTCAGAACATTGAAAGGAAGTAGTTGCGGCTATACTGAAAATTGCAAATTTGAGTTAGGCAAAATTTCAAAGATTTCCAAATAATTTAAACTAAGGTAGCAGATTGCAGGAAGGTATGTGCTTCCTATCTTCATCCTTTGAGCTGCTCTTAAGAAGGGTGAACACATTTGCTCTAGATGCATATTTTATTTCCAGAGTCAGAGGTAATGAATTTGTCGTATGAATCACTGAAGCACGTTTTCCTGGTCCAATAGCCCCCAATCGTGACATGGAGACTTAATTTTAGTTCTGAATGCTCGGCCTTATCTTAGGCTTGTCCCACTAGCTCTTATAACTTAATTTAACCTGTTTCTCTCCATCTACATTTTGCTTTGGGGCTTTTACCTTTCTTTCATTCTGTATGTCTTTCTTTCCTGCTCTGGCAACTGGATAGCTGGCCCTGGGCATCTCCTCTTCCTTCCTCGTTCTCTCTCCAGCCTAGATTCCTCCTCTTATTTTTTATCTCTGTCCTCCAGCCCCGCCATTCAGCTTTTTATTAAACCAATCAGGCCTTAAGCAGGCAAAGTAAAGCAAATCCAACACATCTTTACATAGTTAAACAAATCCAACACATCTTTACATAGCTAATTATTCTGCAACATAAAACAAATGCAATACATCTTTACATAGTTAAACAAATATTCTATTCCACAAAAAGTTCACTTTATGCCTTTGTGTGTTCTTACCCAAATTTTATAAACATCCCTGAAGTAATGGAAACGAAAATAAATTCTGTAGACAATAAGGACGTGTATAATTTAAGAAGGTGTTCTTAATAAGTACAATGAAAATGAAAGGTTATTAACCAATGATTTAGTCCGTTTATTGTGTGCTATGTGCTGAATACTGTGCTAATATTTAGCAAATATTAACTCATCTAATACTCATAACAACAGATCGAGGTTCTGTATTTTTCATTTGTATTAGATCTATTTTAAGGATCAGAAGAAGAAAGTCAATTTAACTGTTTGCTTAGAGCTTTTGGAAGATTGGTGAAAGGGAAAAGGGTGCTAAAACTGGGATAAAATTTGATTTTCTTTCATAATTAATCTTTATATTTTTATGTATTATTTGATTATATATTTTTATCTACCTTTTTTTCTGTTTCTGTTCCAAATTTTGTTAATTGTGTCAGAGCTTTTAATTAGGTTAAGGAATTATGAGCTGTTGTTTTTGTTGTTTTGAAACAGGGTCTCCCTATATAGCCCTTGCTTTTTGCTTTATGTTTCCAAACCTAAAACATAAGGATTCATGTTAGTGACAGGCAGGTGATTTTACTTTTGTTTCTCTAGATATAATAAAAATAATTTTCAGAGAGCATGCAATATTACCACTTTATTCTGTAGATGATAAGCATATATTATAACTGGTTGAATTCTACTCTAAAGAAAGCTGAACAAAGGGAAAAAATTTAATGACAGAGCAGTTATGATAAAAATCTGATTTGTTAAATCACATTATGTATACTCTCATTTCTTCTCTATTTACTTGCTGTGGCTGTGATCTATATTTATATGGTGGCAGTTAATTGCCTCCCAGCTGATTTCAGCACCAGTTCTTTGTAGCTTAGATGTTAATTAAGTAGACAGGTACTAAACTCGCAGCCTTATCTTTATTATCTTGGTTTTAGAGCCTAAAATTGTGAAGTCTTTTAACATAATATGGTATTGACACAGCATGAATATCATTAGAAATGAGCTACAATGCTGTTAC